AACCTCAAAAAAAAAATCCCTAATAAGACAGAAGTAAGTGATTTACCTGAGTTTAAAATACTAGTCATAAAAATGTTCACTGAGATCAGAACAACATATGAACAAAGTGAGAATTTCAACAAAGAGACAGAAAATATAAGAAAGTACCAAACAGAAATCACAAAACTAAAGAATTCAACAACTGAACTGAAAAATTCTAAAGAAGGGATCAGCATCAGACTAAATAAAGCAGAAAAAAACAGGATCAACAAACCTGAAGCCAGGGCAGTGAAATTCATCCATCAGAGAAGCCAAATAAATAAACAAATAAATAAGAACGAAAGACAGAGGAATGACAGTTTAAGGGACTTATGAGACATTACCAAGTGGACCCACATTCACATAACAGGAGTCCCATAAGAAGAAAATAGGGGAAGGAGGGCAGAAAATTTATTTAAACAAATAAATTTTTGGCTGAAAAATTTCCTCACCTAAGAAGGAAAGAGACATCCAGATCCAGGAATTCCAGAAACTTCTTAGTAAGAATCCAAAGAGACAGACACCAAGACACATTATAACTAAATTGTCAGATGTTAAAGACAAGGGGAGAATCTTAAAAGAAGCAGGAGAAAAAACACTTCTTATATACAAGGGAACTCCCATAAGACCATCTGCAGATTTTTCAGCAGAAACTTTGCAGGCCAGAGGGAGTGGCATGATATATTCAGAATGCTAAAAGAAAAGAACTGCCCACTAAGAATACTCTACCCAACACAGGTGTCCCTCAGAACGGAAAGATTTTTCCGGTCAAGCAAAAGCTGAAGGAATTGAGCATCACTAGACTGGTCTTATGAAAAATGTCGAGGGGACTTCTTTAAGCTGAAATGAAAGGGTGCTAACTAGCTACAGAAAAACAAATGAAACATAGATCTTACCAGTAAAGAAAAACATAACTTAAATTCATAATATTCTAATATAATGGTGGTGGTTAATCATATATAAATCTACTTATGAAGATTAAAAACCAAAAGCACTAAAAATAACTACATGAATATGTTAGTGGATGCACAGATAAAAATATATAATTTGTGACATCAAAAACAAGATGTTTGAGGGGAAAGTAAAACTGTAGTTTTAGAATGCTTTTGAACTTAACTTATTGGCAACTTTAAATAGATTGTTATAAATATGTTTTAGGTAAGCTTCATGTTAACCATATAGCAAAAACCCATCATAGATGCGCAAAAAAAGAAAGAAATCTAAGCAAGCACACCACTACATAAAATCATCCAGTCACAAAGAGATCTAAAGAAGGAGAAAGGAACAAAGGATTACAAACCAGCCAGACAACAATGAACAAAATGTCCAAAAGTACATACTTATTAATAATTACTTTAAATGTAAATGGACTACATTCTCTAACAAAAAGACACAGAGTGGCTGAATAAATAATAAAACAAGACCCATTAATATGCTGCCTATAAGATACTTACTTCAGATATAAGGACCCATACCCGTACACACTGAAAACGATGGGAAGGAAAAAGATATTCCATGCTAATGAAAACCTAAAGAAAGCTGGGGTGTGTGGGTGTTTGTCTGATATATATATCAGACAAAATAGACTGTAAGATGAAACTGTAATAAGAGACAAAGAAGGTCAATGTATAATAATAAAGGGGTCAATCCAACAAGAGAGTATAACATGTGTAAATATTTATGCATACAACACAGGAGCACCTAAACATATAAAGCAAATATTAACAGGTGTAAAGGGGAAACAGACAGTAATACAATAATGGTAGGGGAATTTAATACCCCACTTTCATCAATGGGTAGATAATCCAGTAAGAAAATCAATAAAGAAACACTGGGCTTAAACAATAAATTGAGCCAACTGACATAACAATCCACCCCAAAACAGCAGAATACACATTCTTCTCAAGCACACATAGAATATCCTCTAAGATAGATCATATATTGGGGCACGAAGTGAATCTTAATAAATTTAAGATCAAAATCAAGAAAGTATTTTTTTCAGACCACAATGGTATGAAATTAAGAATTCATCTCAAAAAGAAAACTAAAAATTTCACAAACATATGGAAATTAAACCACATGCTATTGAACAGCCAATGGAGTCGAAGAAGAAATCAAAAAAGAAGTCAGAAACTACCTTAAGACAAATGAAAATGAAAATAAAATATACCAAAACTTGTAGGATGTATGTGGCAAAGCAGTTCTAAGAGGGAAGTCCATAGCAATAAATGCCAACATTGAGAAAGATCTCAAATAAACAACACAAACAACTAGAACAGGAGAACAGACTAAACCCAAAGTTAGTAGAGGGAAGAAAATAAAAGATCAAAGTGGAAATAAATGAAATAAAGACCAAAAAGGCAATAGAAAAGATCAATAAAACTAAGAGATGGTTATTTATTTTTTAAAGATTTTATTTATTTATTTTTAGAGAGAAGAGAAGGGAGGAAGAAAGAGGAGAGACAGATCAATGTATGGTTGCCTCTCACACCCCCCCGCACCCCGCGCCCCCCCGCCACTGGGGACCTGGCCTGCAACCCAGGCATGTTCCCTCATGGGAAATTGAACCAGCAGCCCTTTGGTTTACAGGCTGGCACTCAATCCACTGGGCCATGCCAGCCAGGGTGGGTTTTTTAAAGAGATAACAAAATTGACAAACCTTTAGGTAAGACTCACCAAGAAAAAAACAGAGAGGACTCCAAATCAAAAATGAAAGAGGAAATATTACAACTGATAGAAGAGAAATACGAAGTGACTACTATGAAAATTACATGCCAACAAATTGGACAACCTAGAAGAAATGGAGGAATTCCTAGAAACATACAACCTACTAAGACTGAGCCATGAAGAAACAGAAAATCTGAACAGACTGAATTAGTAAAACTGAATGAGTCAGTAATCAAAAAATCCCCAATATCCAAAATATATAAAGAACTCATACAACTCAATAACAATAACAACAGAAAATCTGATTTAAAAATGGGCAGAGGACCTGAATAGACATTTTTATAAATGGATGGCCAATAGGTACATGAAAATGTGCTAAACATCGCCATTTATCAGGGAAATGCAAATCAAAACCACAATGAGAATATCACCTCATACCTGTTAGAATGGCTATTATTAGAGACAAAAAATAATAATTGCTCTTAAGGGTATGGAGAAAAGGGAACCCTTATACACTGTTGGTGGGAATGTAAACTGGTGCAGCTACTCTGAAAAATATGGAGGTGCCTCAAAAAACTAAAAGCAGGACTGCTATATGACCCAGCAATCCCACCTGTGGGTATTTATCTCAAGGAAACAAAATCACTATCTAGAAAAGATATATGCACCCTCATGTTCATTGCAGCATTATTTACAATAGTGAAGATGTGCAAAACAACCTCTCAATCAACAGAGGAATGGATAAAGAAGATATGAAATATATATATATAAAATATCTCAATTTAAAAAATCATAAAATAAATTTAAAAAATTAGAGAACACACCAACCATTCCATTGAAACACAAGTTGATATTTGTCTCCAGTCTATGTTGGGCTCCCCAATGCAAGTAAACCAACAGGCAAAGAAAGGGGCCACTTTACTGGCTGGAGTGACTGAATTTGACTATTGAAAGGAATTGGGTTCCTACGGCACAAAGTGGACAAAGAGAATGTCTGGAATGCAGATCTTTTGGGGTACTTCTTAGAATTCCTGAGTTCTGTGAAACTTTAAAATTGTTTCACTTTGCTCAATTATAAAATTTATAGGGTTCTGGTGCTCAGGAGAAACTCATTAAAAACAGAGCCAGACTCTGATAAGAAGAGGCTAAATATTTCTTAAGATTAGTGGTGTTTATTTTTGTCTCATATTCTTTTGTATGTATGGGTAAAACAAGGATGGATACAGAAATGTGAATGCCATCAGCCTCACTGATGTTTTAAGTTGTGAAAATGCATGAATCTGTAAAAGAGTTAACTGACATTTAAATCTCACAATAAAACCCCCCACAATTTTGGCAGACTATATATAATGTTAATTCTTTGAACACCATTGTTTAAGAATAAAATACTTTGCAAATTTGTTCTACAAGGCAAGAAAGGGGAGTTACTAGTTATGCAATTTTGGTAAATTACCTAACATCTCTGAACCTGTTTACTAATCAGTAAAATGGGTACACGTGCTACTTATGTAAAAACGCTTTGGAAATTGGAGCTCACAGAAAAGTCATTTTTCTTCTTCTAACCCAGGGTGTTTCTCGATATCAGCAGTACTGACATTTCAGGCCAGGCAATTATTTGTTGTGGGGTGCTTGCTGTCCTGTGCACCGTAAAACGTTTAGCAGCATACCTGGTCTCTACCTACCTATATCCTCTATCCTCTGGAGAAATGCCAGTAACAGCTCTATCCCAGACATTGCCAATTGTCTTCTAAGAGGCAAAATCGCAGCAAGTGAGAACCAGTGTCATAACCCCATGTTCATACAAAATACATTTGAGGGAGAAATAAAACAACAGCCTCGAAGGTACAGAATGCAGCCTCAGGGAGGCTGGATTTGTGACTCAGAAAACGGGATAATGAGCTTCAGCTGTCAGTAAACAGCCGAAGTCCCAATTAACGGATGGACTATTAAGGAAAGGGCAGCAAGGGGCAGACGAAGAGGGCAAGAGGCCAGTCTTTGGTCTCTGGGAATCCGAGGCCTACACTGGTGACCATTTACAGCGCTTAGCGGACTCCTAAGTAGAATTAGTTTTACCAAATCAACATACCGACGCCGTGGGCAAGGCCGTACGTAGGGAAGGTTGTCAGAACTTGGTCCACCCGCCGCTGCGGGGCGGAGTCCCTGGGTATAACGCCCGAGGAACTTGTAGCCGCAGGCCCCGCCCTTGTCCCCGCCCTTGTCCCCGCCCGCCCGCACCGCGCTCCGGGGCTGCTCCCCGCCTCCTCTCTCCAGCGACTCCGTCCGACTACGCGAGGCCTTGCGTAAGCGGGCGGGGGCGCGGTGGAGGCGTTGGCGCTGCCACGTCCGGGTGACTACAGCGGCGACCGCTACAGCGGCGCGGGACGTGGAGGAGGTGGGGCTGGCGCTGGAGCAGGATCCGGTTCCAGCGCTGTGTATCCTAGTGGGGGAGAGTCCACCGGTCCCGGAGAGGAGTGCCGACTGTGGGGCCACTACAGGTGAGGAGGGGTGGGGGCCCGGGAGCGAGAGCGGGGCCCGGGCGGGGACCCTGGGTGCTGTGGGGGGCCTGCCTGCAGATTTATCAAACAGGTGTGAGTCCTGCCCCTGGGCAAGGCAAGGTAGGCCCTGGGTGGGGGAGCACGCAGTTCCATTTGGGGTGCCTGGCATTTTTGCTCACCAGCGGGGTGCGTGGACACTCGGTCGGTCGTGGAGCGCGGTTCGAAGCAGGTTGAGCGGCTACGCGCATGGAAGAGAGGTTAGGGGTGATGGCCAGTGGCCCTGCCATACAAGTGTGTCCCTGGCAGGGCCTGAGCAGAGACCGGGATCCTAACTTCGCTCACCGGCCTTTGGCATGCGAATCGAGACAGCTGCTCAGTCTCTGCCGCCATCGGTTTTGAATGGGCTTCAACATGCCGGACCCCCTTATCCAACCCTCCACCCCATTCCTTTCCAAGGCGTACCCCACAGTGGTTGTGAGCCACTTGAGGGCATGCTCCTGCTCCGAAGATCACCTGCACTCACCAAATCGGGGCTTTCACTGCGGGAAAGAGGGCCATCCTTTGTGTCTTTTCCCGGGACTTCTACCCCTAGAAATACTGAGTACTGTGATTTCTGTTATAGGAGCTTATGTTTATGTAAACCGAATTCAACTTCGTACAAGATTGCACAGGCGATTATGGGATTAGTTTTATTAAGATGTCCAAGAAATCATTTTAATCAGTTCTTTTCCGGCAGGATTCACTGAGTTTTTAGCATAGGGGAGACAGAGCTACTTACCTCTCTGGTATGATAATATCAATTTAATATGGTAGTGCAGGACTCAAGATGGGAAAACAAGCTAGGATTCTAGTCCATTTCACTCACTTGTGTGCTACCTTGGGATCAGTTCCTGGGAGCTTCACATGCTTCAGTTTCCTGGTCCATAGACTGGGAATAACCTAAATTATAAGGATCAAATGAACTACCAGAAAATACTTTTTAAAATTCTCAAGTGAAGTGTAATTGCACAATTTAGTTATAAAGCCAGGCCTATTGAAGTCATCAGCGAATGGAGTGTTGTTTAGATTAAAAATTCAGTCCTATTACCTTGGTCGGGTGTCTCAGTAGGTTGGAGTGTCCTCCAGTACACCAAAAGGTTTCAGGTTCATTCCTGTTGAGGTCACACACCTAGACTAAGGTTCGATCCCTGGTTGGGGTGCATACGGAGGCAACCCACTGATGTTTCTCTCCACTTCCCCCTTCCTCTCTCTCTAAAAATCAGTGACTACAACCTTGGGTGAGGATTTAAAACATTTTTTAAAAGTCCAAATTATTATTGAAATTGTTATAAAATGTGTGTAGATGAACCCTAGTCCCAAACAGCATGGGTCTCCCCTGCCCAGCCCACCCTGCTCCCCATTCACCATACTGAAGTGGTGTAATGATGCCCCAGGAGCTCTTGAAATACATAAGACAGTTTAGATTTGGCCTTAGATTGCTTTGAAAATTTTTACATCAACTTTTAAAGTCTTCATTCCTAGGGTCTATTACTTGTTGCTTTCATTGCTAGCTTCTAACAACAGCTCCTCAAGTTGTTGGAATTCTGTCCAAAGAATAAGTCAACTGAATGAAAACCTCAGGTGATCCTAGTAAGAATGAACTTGGTGTATATTTTTTATTATATCATTTGTGGCAGTTTGCAAATCTTTTTTCCTTTTGGATTTTCTGAAATGTGACCTCCAGATAAATTTTACACCGCTCATTATTCATTCACCAGGCATTTATTGGGCTAGGGTTAGGTATATATGGGCCTTGAAAATGCATGCTAATTTAAAAGTTAAACAGGAGAGGTTTTTGAGAAATGTGTAAGGAGGGTTAGGGCTTTTTATTTATTTTTATTTATTTTTTATTTTTTAAAAGAGTGTATTTATTTATTTTTAGAAAGGGAATGGAGGGAGAGAGAGAAACATCAATGTGTGGTTGCTGGGGGTTGTGGCCTGCAACCCAGGCATCTACCCTGACTGGGAATCGAACCTGCGACACTTTGGTTCGCAGCCCGCGCTCAATCCACTGAGCTATGCCAGCCAGGGCCGGCTTTTTAAATTAATCTAAAATATTTAAAATAAGATCCCAATGGTAACGATGAGATTGAGAGCTTCAGGCAACTATGCGTTTGCAGAAGTTTCCTACTTTTGCAGTACTAGGGAGCACCTGAAGATGCTAAAATACTTCTTTAAGCCAAATAACCTATCTTATTTTTTTCTAACGTCTTTTCAAATGTTTATCAAACCATATCTTACTTTAGCTTGTCCTGCATATTAACTGGATGCCAGCAGAATTTTCCTATATGGGGCAGACTAAGTTACAGGAAGGTAACCAACCTTAAGTATGGCTCTATTTTTGTAAAAATGCTAATAAAACATTTTGATACTAATTTCTGACTGCCTAGTTATGGGACTTTTATTTATATCCAGAATGCTTTGTTTAATGTCTTTTGACTAGCTTGAAATTTTTATTTTCCAAATATAGGTTACAAGAGCTGCTTTTGACTATATCTTTAACTCTTGTGCAGTAAATTCTGTAAAAGCAGGAAATTCATTTTCACTAGTGCATCTTCAGTACTAAGAGTACCGTCTGGAGTTATTCAGGATTGTGTACATAATCTGTGGTAACCCATGCAAAATGAAAATGCAGGGCTCTTTGTTAAAAAAAAGTAAGATTTCAAGACAGTGGCCACAGAGAGTTAATCCAAGCGTGGACCTGTGCAACCACACAGGTCCAGTCCCCATGATGCTGTCCCTGTTGGTTGATTTTAAATCCTAGGTCTTGCTTTTTGGCTCTGTTATCTTGAGCCAGTTGTGCCTCCTTCCTGGTCTGCAAAATGGGAACAGTGATACATCTTTCATTGTATTTTTAAAAGTTAACAGAAAGTGCTCAATAAATGTTACTAACATCATTGATTTTTATGATCATTCTTGGAATAGGACCATCTGGTGGAAAAAATACACAGGAAAATATTAGAATTTACTGTTTAAAATCCACTAGTACAGGCTTCGCAATTCTAATTCTTCTGTGTATCTCTCCTCTCTCTCTCTTGGAAATTATTAACCCTATTCTGTATGTTTTCCAGGCTACATTTTATTGTAAACTCAGGCAACTTTACAGGAAAAAGGACTCTTGTTTACCTTGAAATTGTCTTATCGTTCATCTAAATTCTCTTCTGAACTTTCTTTAAACTTCATGGTTACAACTATGTTAAATAGCGTGAACATCAAAAAAATGTTTTAGTGTGTTTCTTTGAGGAACTAAGATTCTTAGTACTTCTGGCTTCTGCATTTAATGTACACATTTTATTTTATTGATAAAGTAAAATATTTAGCCAGTTTATCTGCATAACTGAAAGAAACAACAATATTGTTATCCATCATTCAGATCAGAGTCTATACAAAAGCCTCAGGTGCCCAATTATCAGGGACCAACAGTAAAATGCATGCACTAAAATTAATCTATAAAAATATTTGTTTCACCCTGGCTGGTGTGGCTCAGTGGATTGAGCACTGGCCTGTGCACCGAAAGGTCCCTGGTTTGATTCCCTGTCAGGGCACATGCCTGGGTTGGGGGCCAGGTCCCCAGTTGGGAGCGAGCAAGAGGCAGCCAATTGATGTTTCTCTCACACATCCATGTTGCTCTCCCTCTCTTTCTCTCTCCCTTCTCCTCTCTCTGAAAAGAAAATCTTTAAAAATAAAAAAAACAACCCTGCAACCCCTTTCTCCCCCTCCTTCTAAATAAAAATGTTTCAAGCGGATTATAAGCTTTTTAAATTTGATAGGAATGATTGTTTTAATCATCAAAAATGATTTCTTTCCCTTACTATTCTCAGAGCCAGGTATAGTGTTGTTTAGAAGATAACATGGTCTGTGTCCTTTTGGAGGGGGAAAATAAAAGAAAAAGACCTCTCAGTATTTTATATAATAACTATGACTTTAAAATATTTCTTCTTTCCTATCCAAGAATGCTAACTTTTAGTTTACCAAAACATAATAGACAACCTGTGGTTCTTTTTGTAGTCCCTGTACTCAGCACAGTGCCTGACTTATTAAAGGTGAGAAAACCAGCAAGAATTTATAAACATGAATTTTACATTAATTGCTAACTAAAGGATATATTGTTGGACCCTTGCAACGTGGCAGGCACTGTCAGGTGCTTGTACACAGTAATTCATTTCATCCTGGAAGTCATTTCCTCTCCACTGTGCAATAGATGAAAAAGCAGATTCTCAAGAGTTTAACTGCCTTAGCCACAGTCACACAGATGACATTCCAACCCCAGGTCTGATTCCAGAGCTCCTGCTCTTTCCATGCCTAGGATTAAATCCTGGCTCCACTAATTTTGTGACCTTGGGCAAATTGCTTAACATGTCTGCCTGCATGTCCTCATCTGTGAAAGTGGAGATAATAATCATCTTTACCCTGTAGGACTGTTGGAGTAAATGAATTAGTAGTGTGTAAAGTTCTTTGAGCAATGTCTGGCACATAATGAGTGCTGAACAATGTTAACTTCTGTTATTACACCACCCTACTGTCCCAAGCCTTTATTCTTCTGCAGCATTACCTATATAGTTACATTGGGTCTCACAGGCAGAAATTTAACCAACCTGTAAGGTCAAGTTAGTAAGAGTTGCCCTATGGGGAACATCAGGGAGTTGGTTATTTGGGAAATTGTTCTGTCATTAAATGGAACTTATTTTTTCCTGTGTTGCCTCTGTGTTTTACAATAGTATATTATTGACAGAGATCTTTAAATTCTTTGTTTCAAAGAGCCAAAGGTAGGTGTCAAGTAGAGTAGTTTAATTGGGTATAGGGGTAGAAATGAAATACTTTATATTCGCCTAATAATTGTTAGGAAGACCCTGTTTCTTCCAGCAACTCTGTGCCACTGAAGTGCCCTCCCGCTTTTATGTTTTATATGTTTTTCATCCCTTCTGTTTTTATATCTATTTAGTCTCAGTTTTATTAGAACCTGCCAATTTCTAAGTGTTCAGAAAAAGAGGAAAATAACATACTTGATCAATTTTCAAAAGCATGAAAAACAGTAGCTGTTTTTAAGTCACTTAAATGCAGCTGAGAAACTTAGGATTTTTAGAAAATATGCTTTGAAAACAAATCTAGCAGATACTCTTAGTGGGAATTTATCGTAGTTAAGATCAAATATTACATATAATGAACAAAGAATAATTATGTAATTTAAACCAGTTTATCAGTTACCTTCAGTTCACAGTTCATGTAAAAAACCAAGCTACATGCCCAGTAACTCTACCTTAGTGGCAAGTAAGACCAACAAATGGTTTCTTAGCCCAGCAGTGAAATCCAATAATGTAAAAAAAGGTAAGAACCCATGAAAAGTCATATATTCACAGAATTCCCATAAGAAAAAATGCTTGAAAAGACACTGCCTAAAGTGGCTTTTTATAGTTCAATACTTAAATGTACTCACTTGTTTACTCTTTGATAGTATTCATGCATTTTCTGTGTATCTGTAGTTGTGTACTCAATGTTAGATTGAGGAGAGCTAAAATAAAATATCTTGCATATCTGTTATTTTTCTTATTCGTTAATGTTTATTAAGAAATTAACTTTCTCAGCATAGTGACTTTCCTTCTATTAAATAAAATAACATTTAAAATTGTATTTTAGACCTTACTGCAAAGATGAAACTTGATGAAACTCCTATGTTTGACCCAACTCTGCTCCAAGAAGTGGACTGGAGCCAGAATACAGCTACATTTTCTCCAGCCATTTCCCCAGCATATCCTGGAGAAGGTTTGGTTTTGAGGCCTCTTTGTACTGCTGATTTAAATAGAGGTATGAACTCAGTTTACAAATCCTGGTTATTTGTAGATAGCATACTGTTTTCTCCACAAACATATTGATGGTCATAATTTTAAAAAATAATACTTGACTTTGGATTATGTTTTGTATTTAATTTTTAAAGTGACTGAGACCCTCAATTTCAATGTGTATGTGTCACGGCAAAGACCAGATATTACTGTGTAATGTTTCAAATGACTTAATTACAACACTGTTCCTTGCTATAAGAAGCCAAAAGACTCCTCCTAAAGGTGAAATTATCACTTATAATGACATGTAAGAGTCTTCTCTAAGATGCTGGATGGGGAATGAGGGTAGAGATACTGCCTTGGATAAATTGTGAAAGGTTTTGTCTACATGTTATTTTGTTTAACATCTAAATTTTTGAAAATGATTTTCTTAATTTTTAGTAATCGAAAGTCAACTTTTTACAGTTTTCCTTTTGGTTAAGAAATATGAAGAAACTAATTTTGGTTAAATAAGTCATTCAGTGTGTATAAGTTAAGATTCTCAAAGTTCTAAAGTGCACTATTCACATAAATTTGAGCTAACATTAATGAAATTAATCAGGAATATTTAAAAATATTTTCAACAATTATATTATTTATATTATTTATAGTATATTTGGTCATTGACAATCTTGCACTTTTAGGCATCCTTTGCATTGTATTTAATGCAAATTACATTCAGAAACATACACGCTGGTTCTATAAATATTGAATATTAAGGTTAATACTATTCCAAAAATCTAGGCAAAAACATTGGTAAAACTTATTCTTTGTTTTATGTAGTGATTATAGAAAGAATAAAGGGTTTCAATTTAATCTTTTGAAATACTTTTAAAATTCTAAGATTTATTGAAGTTTTGAAAAAATAATTGCCCATAATCCTACCTGCGTATTTAGCACATTGCTTCATTTGATATCTCTTACATTTGCTTTTATGACTTGAAATATGTTTTTTCAAAACTAGGTTTTTTAAAGGTACTTGGTCAGCTGACAGAGACTGGAGTTGTTAGCCCTGAACAATTTATGAGTAAGTACTATAGCCTCTATTTTATGAATGAAAAGAAATAAAGGGAAACAAGATTTTATTTTTGTTAGAGCTCTGTTCCATCTATACTACATGTGTTTTTGTTCAAATAGAAATAATTCAGGTAACTAATTGGCTAATTTTATCTTTTTTAAGAAATTTCTTTCCAGTTACAATTGACATTCAATACTATTTTGTATTAGTTTCAGGTGCATAGCGATTAGACAGTCATATCCTTTAGAAAGTATTCCCTCTCTAATTTCAAGTACTCACCTAGCACCATAGTTATTCCAGTATTATTGACTATATTCCCTTTGCTGTACTTTACATCCCTGTGACTATTTTGTAACTAACAATCTGTACTTCTCAATCCCTTTTTCACCCAGCCCCTAATCCTGCTCCCATGTGGCAACCATCAGCTTGTTCTCTGTTATGTATGAGTTTTATCTCTGTTTGTTTTTTAGATTCCACATGCAGTGTGGGGCTAAAGTAGTTTACAGTTCTGAGTACACAAAACAGAGTTTATTCTTGTATTATTACATATTGTATTTTTCCATATAAACTGTAAACCTACTTTTGCCCCACCCTGTGTAAGTGAAATCATATGGTATTTATCTTTTTCTGCCAACCTATTTAACTTAGCACAATACCATCTAGGCCCATCTATATTGTCATAAATGGTAAGACTTCATTTTTATGGCTGAGTAATATCCCATTATATCCTTATAATATCCTTATATCCTTATAATCCCATTATATCCTTATAATTATCCTTATAATATCCTTACCTTCCTTATCCATTCAACTTTTTATTGGAGCATTTAATTCATTTACATTTAAAGTAGTTATTGATGAGTATGTAGTTATTGCCATTTTTTTGTTTCTGATTGTCTTTATAGTTCTTAATATCTTCTTTTGTATGTTGATGACTTTTTTTCAAAAGATTTTATTTTTAGAGAGAGGGGAAGGGGGGAGAAAGGGAGAGTAACATTGATGTGTGGTTGCCACTTGTATGCCTCTAACAGGGGACCCAGACTGCAACCCACGCATGTGCCCTGACTGGGAATCGGACTGGCAACCCTTTGGTTCACAGGCCAGTGCTCAATCCACTGAGCCACACCAGCCAGGGTGTATGTTGATGACTTTCTATAGTGTTGTGTTTGGATTCCTTTCTCTGTATTTCTTGTATATCTCTTGTAGATTTTTTATTGTGGTTACCATGTGCTTTACATGTACCAAAGCTAGGTTTAGTGGTCTATTTTAAGTTGATGGTTTAATTTTGAACACGTTCTATAATCACTACCATTTTTATTTACTTACCCGTTTCACATTTGTTTTTGTATTTATTCACTACTGTGTTTATGTGTATCCCTTAATTTACTGTTGTAGTTATACATGATTTTCCTACTTTTGCCTTTTATCCTTTGTACTAGCTTTAGTGTTGGTGATCCACTGTTTTTGTCTTTGATGTCAGTGAGAACTTTTTCTTTGCATTATTTTCTTATTCATATTTTTATTATTATTTTTCTTCTTCAGTAAGAACCATTAGCATTTTTTATAATACTGGTTTGGTGGTGAAGAACTCCTTTATCTTTTTCTTGTCTGGGAAGCTCTTCATCTGTCCTTCCATTCTAAATGATGGCTTTGGTGAGTAGAGTAATCTTGGTTCTAGGGCCTTGCTTCTCGTCATTTTGAATATTTTTTGCTAATCCCTTCTGGCCTGCAGTTTCTGTGGAATCAGCTGACAGTCTTACTTGAGCTCCCTTGCGGGTAACTGCTTCTCTCTTGCTGCTTTTAGGATTCTTTCTGTCTTTAACCTTTGGCATTTTGATTATGATGTGTCTTCATGTGGGCCTCTGTGGGTTCATCTTGTTTGGGACTCTGCGTTTCCTGGATTTGTAATGTCTATTTCCCTTCACCAGATTAGGGAAGTTTTCAGTCATTTTATTTTATTTTATTTATTTTTAGAGAGGGCAAGGGAGGGAGATAGAGGGGGAGAGAAGTATGAATGTGTGGTTGCCTCTCACGTGGCCCCCACTGGGGACCTGGTCCACAACCCAGGCATGTGCCCTGACTGGGAATCGAACTGGCAACACTTTGGTTCACAGCCCACACTCAATCCACTGAGCTATGCCAGCCAGGGCCAGTCATTACTTCTTTATTTAAGTTTTCAATCCCTTGCTCCCACTCTTCTTATGGTATCCCTATGATACAAATATTGTCACACTTGATGTTATTCCACAGGCCCTTTCAACTATTCCTCATTTCTCCCTCAGTCCTCAATTGTAAAAATTCTTTTTTCCTTTGGCTGTTCTGATTACGTGTTTTCTGCTACCTTGTCTTCCAAATCACCGATTTGATCCTCTGATTTATTTGACCTGCTACTGACTTTATCTAATGTATTTCCTTTGTGTATTGTAGTCTTCATTTATGACTGATTCTTTGTTTCTTATCCCTTTTTTTATTTGTTTCTCTTTGAAGTTCTCACTCAGATCTTCTAGTCTTCCCCTAAGTTCATTGGCAATCCTTCTAACTAGTGTTTTGAATTCTGCATCTGGTAGATTGCTTGCCTCTATTTTTGTGTAGTTCCTTTTCTATAATTTTGCCCTGTTTTTCATCTGGGTCATGTTTGTTTCATTTTGGCAGCCTCCCTGTGTTTGTTTCTGTATATCAGGTAGATCTGCTGTGTCTTCCAGCCTTGGCAGAGTGGCCTTATGTAATGTGTCCTATGGGGCCCAGTGGCACAGTCTTCCCAGGTCACCTGAGCCAGGTGCTCATTAGATGTCCCTTGTGTGGACTTTGTGTGCCCTTCTATTGTAGTTGAGCCTTTATTGCTGTTGGCGTGTCAGTGCTGAGATTGACCCTCATGCTGACTGGCTGTGAGGACCACAGACAAGTTGTGTGGGGACTGACCCCATGGACCAGTATTCACTTTAGTGGGGCTCTGGTTCCTCCTGAGCCCACCCTTTGGGTGTGGCGTTTGTGGCATTAATTGGGTGGTGCTCTGGTGTGGTCTGAGGCTGGCCACCAGGTGTATTGGTGCTGGGGCCTCTTGGTGCACACAGGCCAAGGTCAGTTTGCTACCTGTGTCTAACCTGGGGCCACCTAGTGAGAGCTATAAAGTGACCTGTGGTTGGTAGCTGCCTGTGCTAGGCTTTAAGGCACCTGGAAGTCGTTACGCTGTGAACTGAGGCTGGTGACTGTTACCCAGCTTGGGACTGCTGAACAAAATACAGGGTGTGCTGAGGCCAGCCATTATTTGTCTGAAGACCTTTGAGAGACTTTTAAGAATATCCACAGCACAGTCACAGCATGGCCACCTGTGTGGATTAGCCTCTGAGAGAGATTGGGCCGACTAGGTGAATTGGGTGGGGCAGGGTCTCAGAGAATCACCAGGGTGGGGAGAGTGGTGTTAACCAGGTAGATGGATGCTAAGATCTGGCACCCATCTGCACCTGCTGGGTGAGGGAAAACTGGTGCCTGCTGGCACTTTAATCCCAGAGAGCTTCGCATCCACCCTTGCCTTGAAGCCAGACAGTTTAGTTCCTCCCTGTGTGTTCCTGGCACTTTTTGAGCTCCTGTCCTTTTTCTGGAGCTTGGAGTGAGTGAGTGTGAGTGAATGAGTCTATGCTCAGACCTTTTAAAAGAATGCCTGTGTATCCAGTAGCCCTTCATCTCACCAGATCGAATTGAATCCCTACTGATTTTCACAGCCATTTATTGTGGGAATTCCTCTTCCCAGCACTGGTGCTTTGGGCTGGGGACCCTGGTATGGGGCTGAGATAACCCTCCCAATTCTTAACCACCACACATGGATGTGAGACCAGCCCATTTTGCATCTCCACCCCTTCTACTAGTCTTGATGTGGCTGCTGCTTTATATCCTTAGTTAATGGACTTCTGTTCAGCTAGTCTTTAGGTGATTCCCAAGGGAAGGTCTACAATTTAGTTGTAATTTTGATGTGGTTGTGAAAGGAGGTGAGCATAGCATTTATTTACTCTACCATCTTAATCAGAAGTCCAAATTAGCTATTTTCCTATTTAAATGTTTTATATGGCTAAACTGTTCTAAAACACAAATCTAGTAATTACCATGTTTTACAAAATACCTAACTACTTTTAGATAATTACTGTTGCAGAGAACCTAGGTGGCAACTCTAGAGATTCTTTTTTTTAGCTATTTTCTTTCATGAGGTTAATTCACATAAATTTAACCACCAAATCAAAAATGTAAAAGAATATGTTCTCTATTTTTTTGATTTTCTGTTGACTTTCAAGGTTAACATGTAATTTAGAGTTATAATTGAGCTTTCTACCATCCCCTGAAATACATATGAGAGAATGGAAGTCAAGAGGTTGTGACTCACCCAAGGTCACAAGTAGTTATTGGTAAGGGAAGACTAGAACCTTCCTGACTCCATCCGGTGGTCCGATAGTGTTTTTGCTATTTTCTGTATTTCCTCATATCCTTCAATAGGTAATTTTGTTTTGTTTTGTACTCCCCCTCCCCCTCCAGAGATGAAGACCTTCATTTTGATTTTCATTATTTTCCTTCATCAAATTTCTTCTTCCTATCCCGGATCCCTATCTAGAAAGACTATGGAAATATGTGAAACTGTTAGGTTAATTTTTATTCCTGAATTCCTCTTTGCATACATATCAGATTAGATGAGAAACTGTTATTTCAGCAATATAAGTACTAAAAGTCAAATTTGAGCATAATGTACTTATTCTGTCTTTGCTCCTATATGCTGTGATTTGGGAAGTGGAAGACATTTTTCACTGACTTCACAGGTGTTTTCAAAGGAAACAAAACTAAATGATGATTCTAATTTCTAAAAAAGCAAGTCATATATTCATGAAACACTTGAGATCATAAGGAAAGGACTGAGAGCTACTTTCATCAAAATATTTGGAAACCAAAGACTAAAAATTACAGGATGGAGCCATGTAAAAACATTTTGTTAAAATTTGCAGAGTTTTGTTCTATTAAAATATATGTTGTGTGTAATAGGTGAGAACATTGATTTAAAGTAATTAAGTAATGATTCATTAGTCACAGAAGTGGCACATCTACAATTTACTTGTGTGAGTGCTGTTCGTCTAAAATGGCTGTATTACTCTGACTTTGCTAGCATATTCTTTACATGTATGGACTATATTCTAATTGATTGATTGCTGATATTTCAACTACTTGGTCATTTTAAGTATTTTCTTAGAAACAGCATAAATTATTCTGGTGAAATAGCTTTGAATGTTCAATAACGAAGTCAGCTTATCCTAGTATTTTTCTGGCACCTAATGAAGTTTAATGTCTGCATAACACTGTTTTCAATTTCCACAGAATCTTTTGAGCACATGAAGAAATCTGGAGATTATTATGTTACCGTTGTGGAAGATGTGACTTTAGGACAGATTGTTGCTACGGCAACTCTGATAGTAGAACATAAATTTATCCATTCCTGTGCTAAGGTACGTGTTCCCAATAATGCTTCTGAGCTAAAACAGACAGATGTTTTCTAGCAAAATCTATGTTGATTTTCCATTAGCCAAATCTGTTTTCTTACTGATTTTCACTGTAAAATGAGGGGTATATATTGCCCCCCTCAAAAGTTCTGCTTCTTAGAAGTCCCTTAGAGGCAATTTCCCATTTTGTTCTAGTTATGAGGAAAAACATGTATTAACAATATGAATTTTATTTGCTAAAAATTGTTCTTTAAGGTATTATATTTGATCTGGCCATGGAGAAAGCAAGAAAGTGCCATGAAATTTGGCAGCAATCTTTAGAATGCATAGTGCTTTTTTTAAAAACCGTACTTTGAATATACTACACTAACACGAATTCCCATCAATTTCCAAGTGGTAAAGAGCTCAGAACAGTATAATATTTTCTAATTGTGACATTTCTAATACCTACAGAGCTCCTTTACTTCTCATGGCTTGCAGAAAGATAGGAACAATGGGGTGGGGAGATTTAGGATAGACAAAATAAGACTAAGCCACAGATTGATGGATTCATTATTTCGTCTACAAGTAAATGAAAAATGTTGCATTTTAGTTTATATTAAGTTCAAGTTTACAAAACATTAATTTTTATCAGTGAATTTTTACCATCCATCACTTGTTGTTTCACCTAAAAACAAACTACATGCTTGGCTCTTTCAGAGAGGAAGAGTAGAAGATGTTGTTGTTAGTGATGAATGCAGAGGAAAGCAGCTTGGCAAATTGTAAGTAGGCAGAAATAAGGTAACCCTGGATAAATTAAGATGCTTTTTGTGTTTCAGTTTAGATTCTTGCCAAGATGCTTGTTAAACATGTTTTCCTATTTGAAGTTCTTTTTAGACATAATTAATTATGAACCCATCTCTCTGCAGTTTAGACTGAATTTAATGAAGAAAAAGTATTTTTATATTAATTTTACCATAATGGTTGAGAATTGGAAGTATACTGTTTAACAGTCAGTAATATCTATACATGGTCAATTTTTAATAGTCATATTCTCATACAAGTAGGAAATAAAGTTTTGGCTAAGTCAGGTGATTTCCGCATTCCTCTGTTATATTTTAAAATAAGGGAAATGTTCTCAGTCTCCTAAGTTTTAGAAACATACTGAAACAGCCTTTACTATATAATCTTTTACACATCTACCCAGATCTTTTAAAAACAGGCCAGTTCCTAGTATAGTAGTCTTCACTTTGTCATTCCCTTTATAATTTTATAGCTTCAATCAAGATGTTCTGTTTTCAAATTGACATGATTTTTCAGTTTATGCAAACATGAAAAAAAACACTTCAAGTAAATTTTTGTAGATTTCTTTACTTACCTATTTTTACCTCTAAGGCAGTCAGAATCCCATCCTTATACTGGGTTTTAATTTTTTGAGGATTTGTAAAGATGTATACCATTTTCCTTTATTTCTACTTCATATTAATTATTCCAATCCAGAGTTAGTCTGGTATCTACTTTCACAAATATTAGCTTTAAAAATGATACAGAACAAAGCTATTATTTACCCATTTTATGTGGGAATGTTGACTGCTCTTAAGTAGTTTGAACAGATTTAGAAAAAAAGACATTTTTAGAAAATAATATAGGCCATATTTTTAAAAAAGATTGAGTCTTTAAAACTTATTTTTAAAGAGGGTGAGGGTGAGTTCAACATTTGTCCTATTTATCAGCAGGCTGATGATTATCAGATAATGTATATTTGAAACAAACTAAAATGCTTTGGGTGATTTAAATGGTTATCCACTTATAATATGAATATTTAAATGAATATAGTGGGAAAGGCCATGACCTAAACCTATTTCTAATATAAACTTGAAATTTTATGTAATATTCATATGTTACTAAAATCCATTTTTATTAACAAATGATCTGTGATTTTCCCCCTCCCATTTTTTTTTAATTTCAGGTTGTTATCAACCCTTACTTTGCTAAGCAAGAAACTGAACTGTTATAAGATTACTCTTGAATGTCTACCACAAAATGTTGGTTTCTATAAAAAGTTTGGATATACAGTATCTGAGGAAAACTACATGTGTCGGAGATTTCTAAAGTAAAAATTTTAAAGAAAGACAGTTGTTAAAGGAGCTAACGCAGTAGCGTTATATAGCCTTCCTAGAGTTAAAACAGTTTGTTATAACCCAGCGACCTCCACAAGAACTGGGTTGAAAAAACATTGTAATACAACAAATATAATGACATTTAGAAGATTACTTTGGGTTTGTGGTTCACCTGTGAGTTGATTAAATTACAAATGAATATTATAAAGAGGATGATTTTTAACCAAAGGAAATATATTTTTAACTTGAATCTTTTCTTGTATTTTTCTAAAGTTTGGCCTCATTTCTTGGTAGTCACAGTATAGGAGTTCTGTATTTGCTATCAGTAGTGCTCATTTTTAAAAAAGCATACAATGAATAAGACTTTCTTATTGCCATAAAATTAATATTTTCGGTTCAAAGAAATGTCTAAATACAAATTAAGGGTGTGTCATTTCCCATATATTACTTGAAATTGGGTATGTTAGATATATAGCTAAGTGTAGTACATTCCAACATTTGTTGATCCTAATACTGTATTGGTAAATAATCTGGTCAGCTTTTTAAAATAGAAATGAAAATTAACTTAAACATGTGACAAGATTCAAAGTAAAACAGTTTAAATGTACTTCTAATGGTTTGTGTATTTCTAATGTAGATAAAGTACCACCTGTCTTATATGTGAAATATAATACTTATTCAAGGTACCTAAGAGGAAATAAATATAAGGTACTTTTTAACAGTGAGTTAGCAAATCATGGCATATTACGAGTGAGAATTTTAACCTGAATTCTCATCTTTTAATGGGTGTCTGAGGCCTCTTCTGAGGAACATTTTTATGAAAAATAGATTATAAATTTGAATAGAATATTTAAAACATGTATATTTGTTACATTCTTAAAATGTTGATGGAACCTTTTCTATTTAATGTGATTATATAGAGTACTATTGAATATTCCAGTCACTATCCTGTTTTGATTTTATTTTTTTTAAGTTGGAGCAGGTATGAAAATGTTAATGGTTCTAATCTTTTGCATTCCATGTTACATTAAACCTGTTCATATGATGACTAGTCTTTTGTTAGAATCCTAACGTCTGTGCTTTTCTTGAGTCTTCTCTTGAACTAATAGGTCAAGTCATGGTTCATAAAATTAGTTTTGTGTACTCTTATAAAACGAACTTGGAAAGTGAAGACCACCTGTTTCTCATCCCTTTCACTCACACCTACCTGAACTGGACTAAGGAAAGCAACAAAGCTAGTTTTGCCTTTACTAAAGTCCCACAACCTTGCAATACAGTAGGCTTTATCAAGTACACCAACGTTAAAAATAAGCCTAATAAAAGACAAAATTAAATGTTTTACTTTTCTTACCACCGAACAGTTTGATGTAAAACCGTCTACAAGGTTGGTATTTCAAAAAATTTCTTTAAATGGTGCTCTTAACGTGTTACCTTAAATCCCCCCTAAAGGAAATAGTTACAAGCAAGGTATAGTATATAAAAATTGTGTCATGAGGAAAATGATATTCTGTATTTAGCTTTAGTTACCCAGATTTTCTTTTCATTTTCATTTTCATTTAGTTTATGATTTTCTAAGCCATATTGTGAGTAAACGAGCACAAAAAAACCTATAAAAACATGTCATTTAAATATATTCACAAGTTTGAGCACTGCTTTTGAAAAGGTACTATATAATGAAATGGCAATTGTGATTTTTACTGTGCTCCATCTATTGTGTATATTTGTTTCATTAATTCTAAGATGACCTTTTTTTTTTTTTACACTGTAACATTTAGGAACTCTGGGTGCATTTTATGATCAAAGATTTGTCATAGTTTATTCAGTAATATTTTGCCTTTCAGTGGTATCTAAAATAATGGTGTAGTAGTGGCATCTTTGATTTGATGAAGAATAGTATGTAGGGGGGCTAACAAAACAGTTTCTAGCCTATTAAAAAAATACACGTGCATTTTTTTAATAGGCTAGAAATTGTTCTATAGGTTACCTCCCATTTCCTTCAGGCATGAAATTCTTTACTTCCAACTCTAAACTCAATCAACTAATCCCTAAAATTATACTTGAGCTAATATTTGGGCCTTGTGTGGACTACTGACCATATTGTGTGTGTGTGTGTGTGTGTGTGTGTGTGTGAGAGAGAGAGAGAGAGAGAGAGAGAGAGAGAGAGACCATAATGTTTGGAAGATACTCTTAAGTGCTTATTAATTTCCAATGTTCATTTATCCTTCTTAATTTGTGGGAATAAAACTCAATTATTTCTACCTAGAAGCCAACAATCTAAGTAATGAAGTTCTGAGGCATAAGCAGTATAAACAAGCTTTTCAATCGTTTTGAGGTATAATGGCACAACAGCTTTAATACAACCACCAATCTTCACAAAATAATTTTAATACTTTGTGTCCGGGCTAGCAGCATCTCGCACTGTGACATTCCTATACATACATAAGCATTTTATCTAAGTACAAATGTTGAAAGCAGAGTAACGTAATCAACTGCCTATACAAAGGTAAGTAGACACTGTAGATTATTTTTTTTCTTGAATTTTTGCTGCATAGTAAATTGCAATTACATGTCAGTATGATGTTACTGATCTATAGAATACACTTTGAACTGTGAGGTATGGCAACTCCCTAAAAAGAGAGCTAACATGTAAACCTGAATATTTTGAGTGATTTTTTTTTAGCTGCCATGGATGGGTAAGACAAAAAAGAAGAAAAAAAGAAATCCAGCATTCAAAGACCTAGAAACTTATTTTTTAACCAAAAAATAAAATCTTTTAGTAATTCTCAGCTATTTCTTAACATTTCCTTTTTTGGAGCATTGTTGAATGGACAACAATAAAGTAAATACTAAAGTGAAGCTTTGTTGTGGAAGTGTGGGCTAAGCCAGTTATTTTAAAAAAAAAAAGTCTACCAGGTAACTGCTCATTTACTTTACATCAAGTTAAGATCCTGACATATGTATATATGCATATATACACACCCCAACTTTATAATTCAAGAATGCAGTTAAATACTTCTAATTTACTTGAATTACCATGGTAATAAGACAATTAGAAACCCTGTATTTTCTAAAAAGGACATGCTTAACATTTTCTGAACATTACTTCTAAATTCAGGTGAAGCACAAAATCCCCCCAAAACATATATTCTGCTCTAAAAGTTAAGTAGTTGAGAGTTCATAGCAAGAACTATAACAAATTTAACATTTCCACCATGAAGTAGATAAAAATAAGCAAAAGTAACTGCTATTTAAACATCTACTAGATAAAAAAATACGAACCAGTTAACTGAAACTAGAAGGTAAGACTGCCATTCCAGTTTGAATATTTTCAATATTTAAGCTTCACACTTTCAAAATGGACAATAAAACAGTTGTCCCATGTCTTAATGCAATTAGGGTCACTTTAAATTCTGTGCCCAGATTACATATTTAATGTTTAAAATTTGGTACTATATCACTTATACATTATTCAAATATTTAGAAAATAAATCATGATTGGCTAAATATAATTAACTATCACAACACATCAGTGGAAATAAAGGAATTACAGAAATGGAACCAACTGGAAAAATGGGAAGAACTAGTTGAACATTACGTGGAAGAACGGATCCAAGACAAAACATATTTGCAATGTTCTTAGATGAAAGGAAGAATAAACATGTTTTGTCCACATGACAGTCCCTTTTCCTAGTGTTTGTGAGAGATGGTCTTCAATGTACAGTGCTGGGCAGGCACTTTAGTGACAACATAAAAATTACAGTGGTTAGGAAAAGTGGAAAATTACCAACTATAAAGTAAAACATAACCAAATGTATATTTTTTGGCCCAACTACTAGAGAGTCATGTGTACTTAAGAAACTAATTTTAAAAGTCTTTACCTAATTTTAAAACCTAAATGTACTACTATGAAGATTCTTTTGAGCAGAGTTTCTGCTAAATGAAGCATCATATATTATAGATTACAAGAGAGATCTTTGCTGACTTATCCAATACTGCTCTATTTACAGGAAAGCTGTGTTACCTGGCACTTTACCAACAGGAATTTCTGAACACTTAATGCAAATCTTGACTCTACCACACCAAATGACCTAATCACACAACAGAATACAAGACCACAGTGGAATTAACAGTATGTTGTTTTCAGGGTGGTAAAATAGAGAAAGGGAAGGGAGATGAGAAGAGGAATAACACCTGGGTCATCAGGAATTAACTCTTAATTAACAAAGCAATTTTAATTCATTTCTACTCTCCTGCTATGCTGGATAAAAGAAGCTTTTACTGTATTATTACATTTTAGGGAGGAAAGCCAAGCAAGTAACTTGGTGTAATGTTACCTTGCATAGTACCTATTGGCAGGTACCAAGGGAACGGATGGAAATAAAGCACCTCAAGAGAGGACTGATAAAAGTGAGATAGAAAGGCGTTTTGTTTGTGCTAACCTAAATTATCAACTATAAAAAGTTAAAACACTCCCCTCCTCCCTTACAACACACTTAAAATAGCAAAAATGTTTTTCTTAGAACAATATATAAATAAAAATAGGGAAAAACAGGATCTATAAAATGACTTTAGATTAACTCAAGGTAAAGAACTGATTAAAGCACTAATTTAAAATATACTAAAGTCTCCCACAAATCAATTTCCCCAGTAAATGAATCTTCAAAGAAAAGCTTCTATCTGAGCCAGAACAACCTCAAAGAGTCATTAAGACAATATAAAATAAGGAGTAAATATTTCCAAATTATTTACTGAGGTTTCTTCAAGCCTCAGATTGTTAAGATTTTTCATTGTTCTACATACTAATTTAGAGGTCATGAGGATTTATTTTTAGGTTTTTTTTTTTAATGATGCAAGGCACTTTTCTTTTTTGGGCTTCATTTAGGAAAAAAATACTGCTACATTGGTTTATATTCTATTTAGAACCATTTTGGACAAAGAAAAACAAGCTAAGCAACTCTAAAAAGAACAAACACATTTGGCTTTTGAGAAATGCAAAAAGCATCTTTTGTTCATTAAACTTTTTCTATAGACTAAACAAATTAGGAAGATAATAGGAAAGGAAGCAATACTTGGATCATCTTTAAGTAGTTGGCTAATGTCATGATTTAAAGATTAGTAATAATCAAGAAGTTTTTTTTAAAAAAGAGATTGAGTTAATTATACTAAGAAAGAAATGTGCAAGATTCCTGCATTTGTTAATGTTTCTGTAAGAGGTTCCATCATAAAATTGAACTGTAAAATTATTTTTAAATGTAATATATAGAACACAATGAATTTTTAGCAAACTTTAGGAAATTCTTTTGTTATAAATTACCCAGATTTTATAAACAAATCCCCCTAACTTGCATTTTGTTTAAAGTAATAACTATATCATACAAATAAATTTCAAGTATGAAAAGTGCATTATTGCAATAATACCTCTTTGCAAGTCCAAAATTCTTTGTTTATAATAAAATTGTAAAGTGTTAAAAAAAAAAGAGAGAGAGAGAAAAGGAGTGAAACCATCAGTGCCATCTAATGCAGAAATCCAACATCTTAAAATGTTGCTTAACAGATTGTAAAGAAACACATCTGGAAGCAACATACAATGGAAAAGAAACTACTTGTGTTTTTACCATTTTACATTATTATTGTCTCTAGTGTTTTTTCCTTCCCAAAAAGAAATTCACATCTTCTATAACGTTGCTCTTGATTCAGCCATTCTGTGCAGTCGCAACTTGCATGCTTCCAAAATCATCTTCTTCTTCATGTGTTCTCTTCAAACTGCCTAAAATTTTGGCATGAACATAACATATAATGGGAGCTTAAATGAGTTCATTTATTAGAATGTTATACCTAATAAAAGTTGCATTTTTAATGAAGTGTTGCCATGTATAGGTTCTATGAAAATTCCATGACTGAACTTTTAGCAAACTTTGGTAAATTCTCTTGTTATGAATCACCCAAGGACTTTTGTATCTTCCTAACAATATATTTCCCTCTTGAGAATTAAGATGGTCTTAGGTATTATAAATGATAAACATAATTTTTTAAAATAGTTTGAAA